AATACTTTGAGCTATTATCCTCCATCCCTCCAGACTTTTGTCATGTCCAGGTGCCATGTGTACTACTCAACATTGACTCGTTTTTAAACTTTAAACTTCATCACAAGCATTAATACCTGAGAAAACATAGTTTTATTATGCTAATTAGGTTTTTTTTTTTGTAATATAGGTTGAAATATAAACTGTAGAATTGCCTTTTGAAATTTAAACTGGCACCAAAATCATCCCATGTGCCACTGGGGAGAGTGGGACACATTGCAGAGAGCCTGTGATCTGGGACCAGTGAGTCCCTATTTTTCTCTTCATCTCAGCAACGTTGCTGAATGTACGGTCTAAGACACCCCAGTCCTGGAATTCCCCTCTGCAACCTTTAGACGAAATGTTCTTTCAGTCCCTGCTGGGCACCCCCAGGGTTGTGGAATAGCCCCGTGGGGCAGCCCTACAAGCCCAGGGCTGTTCTGTGCCTGTCCCAGCTGGGACTCCTTGAAGCTCCACCCTTTGCTTCTGGTTCTCCCTTTTGGAATGCATTCCTCCTCCACATCCTTGCCAGCCTTGGGGACAGCTGTCACGTGCCTCTAGGAGGCTGAGCAGCAATGAGTAGGATGGGCTCTCATCTGTTGCGCTTATGACACATCTGTTGGTGATGTTTGTAAAAATAATGCCAGGCTCTCATTGATGGACACATCTCTGTGCAAGACACCATGCTGAGCCCTGCACAGGGGGGGACCTCTGCTCAGCCTCACTGTCATCCCTGCTATGGATGGGATGTTTGTCCCCACTTTGAGGACAATGACATTAGATTGAAAAGACACTTTAGGATACGGGCCATGCTGAAAACTCATATTGGTCTTATCTCTGTCTAAACCCTCAAGCTGTTCCTCTATCAACACTATTTAGCCAAGTCTCCGTACCTTATTTTTGCACGGTTGGTGTTGGGGATCCTGGGCAAGGAGCTTCCACTTGGCTCTGTTGTGTTTCATTCTGTAGGATCTGCTCCAACACGCAGGACTGGCTGAAATCTTTTTGAATCCCAGCTGTGTCATATGACATATATCTATCTTTCTCAACTGAGTGTCATCAGAAAATTTGATGAGCATGCAGCCTTTATTTTCATCCTAGTCATTGATAAAAATGTTGACTAGGAAAGAGCCAGGGGACTGAATTCTCTGGGTGATGTTACACACCGGTGACAATTTATTACCACTCTTTGCATACTAGCGTTGTAGTGGCTATTAAATCATCCTAATTGTCCAGACCTGCACTCATTTCTCCATCTTATCCATGAGACACTAGGAGAATCTTGGGTCTCAGATTATGGGGAATGAGAGGGAAGTTGTGCGGTAGAGTTACCTTTGTCCAAAGAAAGGTCAGGCTCTTGCCCAGCTCTTGAAAGGTAACCTCTAAGTCCTTGGAATATTCAAGCTTGATAAGAGTGTTTTTGTTTGCCTGGAGGCCTTGGGCCATGGTAGATAGTCTTTACCAACAATATGATTTAGGGGGGACCTCAGGCCACATGGTAGCTTGACCTCTGGGGGAGCTAAATTCAGCCACGTCTACATGACCAATCCCCAGTAAAAATCCTGGACAGCAAGGCTTGTGTAAGCTTCCCTGGTTTGCAGTGTAGTTTCTGGGACAAGTAGGCAGCATCTGCATGACTCCTCTGGGGGATGGACAACCGGAAGCTCATGCCTGGTCGCTCTTGAAACCAGCCCTATATGCCTCTTCCTTTTGCTGATTTTAATCTGCATCCTTCCATGATAATAAACAATAACTGAGTATAATGGCTTTTCTGAATTCTGTAAGTCCTTCTAGGGAATCGCTGAACCTGAGGGTGGTCTTGGGGACCCCTGAATTGCAACAGGACTCTCTGGACCATATTAAATGTGTTTTTCTTTGAAGCCAGAGGACTGGAGTTCTAGCTAAGCTTCTGCTTGGGTCTGCCTGTGGCTTCCCTAAATGCGTCCTTTGTAACATACAAAGAGAAGCAAGTAGGAGGACCTTTTTCTGGGTCTGCCCCAGGGCCTTACCTTCCATTGTTGGCTGCCCCATGTGGTTTAATGCATGCTCATTTCAACTTACTGTGGGTCAGATATTATACTATCCAAGCTTGGGTCTCTGCTCCTGTCTTTTAGAAAATTCCTTGCTGGGGCACCTGGGTGGCTCGATGGATTAAAGCCTCTGCCTTTGGCTCAGGTCGTGGTCCCAGGGTCCTGGGATCGAGCCCCGAATCGAGCTCTCTGCTCAGCGGGGAGCCTGCTTCCTCCTCTCTCTGTCTCTGCCTGCCTCTCTGCCTACTTGTCTGTCAAATAAGTAAATAAAATCTTAAAAAAAAAAAGAAAATTCCTTGCTAAAATTCAAATACTAATGGGAAAGCACACACTAAGCTGCAGTCACCCACTCATATTCAGATTACATTAATCAGTCCACAAATAGAACCAGACTCTCATTAAGATGGATTCTAGAAATGGGAGGTTTGGATGCAGGCACTGGGGGGAGCTTTCCCATTCAGTTTGTGAGTGAAGAAGCTTCTGCTGTTGGGAGGGTGATGGGAGTAGTGTTGTTCACGTCCCCACAGGGCAAGGTTGAGGTGTGAGTGTTGGGGGAACCAAAGGAGGAGTGTGTTGAAGCAGACTGATGGAAAGCTGAAAAAAGTTAGAGGTGACCCTAATTTTGTTAGAAAATCAGAAGACACAAACCAGAACTTCATTCTTAGTGTGCCATCTGTTGTGTCTCCCTGTAGGCAAATGGGCGATGATTGTCTAGAGCGTGGAGCTTTGTTGGGGTGATGGGGAAGTGGATCCAAGCTGGAAACGTGGCACAGGTGTGTCTGCAGAGAAAGAGGGAGTACACTCCTTGCCTTATTTCTCAGGGGTCTTATTGAAAACAAGGTTCATGGTGCTGCAGGGGAAAGGTATCATTAAGTAGAAGAGGGTGATTCCTTTCTGTATAGGGTTTTTACCTCGCTCTGTGCTGTACCATTCTGGGGAGGTGAACCAAGAAATGCTTTCAAATGGGGACAATTTTACTTGAGTGCTAACAGAAGGGATTATGACCACAATCCCTTTATTTTTACTATCAGAGGTCATTTTGATGAATTCTCACTATGAGGGTGGTTTTTATTTAAACTGTTCTTTAGGTATATGTTGGGAGGTTTTATTCCCCTCACCCCTCCTGTTTCTTTCTTCTGCAGTCAAGGAGCATGGAGTAGTTTGCCCTTAAGATAATCACTAGGGGCGCCTGGGTGGCTCAGTGGGTTAAAGCCTCTGCCTTCCACTCAGGTCATGATCTCAGGGTCCTGGGATCGAGTCCCGCTTCAGGCTCTCCACTCAGCAGGGAGCCTGCTTCCTTCCCTCTCTGCCTACTTGTGATCTCGTCTGTCAAATAAATACATAAAATATTAAAAAAAAAAGATAATCACTAGGGACCTACGAGGATCTTAGATCCTGTGCCCTGAAAAGCTCTACCCCTCACAGAAAAGGGAAATCCTCAGGAGTCTTTATTCCTTCCCTCCTGTCATTGCAAGGAGTAGGAAGTGCAAGGAGACAAGAGGGGCTCAACAGAACCCCTCCCCAAGTAAACATGAGATGTTATAATCAGTTCCTGGCCTGACCAGTCTTCACATTTAAAGCCATTAAGAGTGGAAGTTTCTGGAAGGCAGGGACCACATGAATTTGTCCTTGAATAGGAGGGCTCAGACAGGCCTGGCATTGAGGAGGGAATGACTTAGTTGCTACTGACTCCTGACTCAGGACCTTGGGACATGGAGGGCAAGGGGGATCAAGAAATGCAAATTCTCATTCCTCTGTCACCCCAACATGCTCAGGCAGCTGCCAGCTGGATGCCTTGACGCTCACGAGTATTCCCCCAAACTCTGCACCGGGGTGTTGGCCACAAGCCAAGTCCCTTCTGTGTAGCTGTGTTCTTGGGCGGTCATGAACCTCAGTGAGCTCACTCTCCGATTTCACACACTGAAGTTGTGCTGTGAGTCTGCTGGGCCCCCGCTGTGAGATTAAAAATGGTCAGACATCACACACACAGGCTGCTCCTGGCGATGTAATCAATTCAGTTAAAACAGGGGCCTCCCAGACTTTAGTCCCCCAGTAATTTTGTTCATCAGCTGTGCATCCTCTGGGGGATCTTGTGAAAATACAGATTCTGATGCCGGAGCTCTGTTGGGGGCTGGAGGTTATCCACCAAGCTCCCCGGGGAGGCCCCCCAACCACGCTCCGAAAGCCGGCCCCTAAAGGACACCTCGGTGCTAACATGGAGAAGAGGATTAGGTGACCAGTTAGCCAGTCAAACTCTTCTGACACGTGCAAGTGGAAGGCCCAGAAAGAGGTCATGGATCCTGCCCTGGTCTCGAGGAGACTCAGCCCAGGCCACCTCAAGGAGCTCCATGACCTGGATCACGTGTTTGCAGCAGCAAGAGGCCGGGTGGTGTCACGGTGAGTGCCCAGCTTCAGGGCCAGCTTGCCTCTCTGCGAGCTGTTCCCCACACCTCGCTTTGGTCATTTGTGAAACAAAGATGCAGCACTAACAGTACGGCCCCCCTTGGGAGCCGGTGAAATTTAGCAGGTTACGCAAGGGACCCTGCTGGGAGAAGATGTCCTGTGCTTATTTGCCTCTCGGCCAGCATTGCAGTCCCTGAGCCTGGGACCTCAGGGGGCCTGGGCTTCAGTGCCCTGCCCGCACAGTTGTGCAAGCACTCTTGGGTCTCCTGTTACCCGGGAGCCGGCAACAGACCAAAATAAAGGGAGGGGACGAGCGGGGAGGGCCGAGCGAGCCTCTGCAGGGAGTCTGACCAGGTCAGCTGGGAATGCCTGTCAGCCATCCAGGGTGGCTCCTGCGTGGGCCTGGAGGTGGGTGAGTGACTCACGCTAGTGCCCTCTCCACCCCCCATGCCCAAATGCTCAGCCCTCCCCGGCCCGGGGCTCACCTAATCCCCACAGTGGGAGTCGGGGGGCCTTTGCACCCGAGCCGACTTCACAGGCAGCACCATGTGCAGCTGAGCAACCGTGCAGCCGTCTCCCGCGAGGTGGGCAGCGAGGTCAGCCTGGCAGCCGCTGCCTCCCTCTAGCCCCGATCTGGCCACAGGCAGCCGCTGCCCCGGGACCCAGCGAGGGATGGCCGACCAGGAAGCCAGTGGGCTGCAGGTCCTGCTGCGCACGCTTCAGGTAGGAAGAGGTGGAGGGGAGTGCGGCCCGGCAGACTGGGGCTCTGCTGGCCAGCCTGCCTCAGGGCTGTGCTCCCGCCGTCCCCTCTGGCACCGGTGGCCAGTTTGCTAACCAGGGACAGCAGAGCCCGGGAGCTAGCAGCAGCTCTCACCTTGAGGCTGACCTAAGTGATGCTGTGGTCTTTAAATATTAACAACGACCATGTCAGTGAGTGTGTCTGCTTAAATTATTGAACCGGGTGGGATGAGAGGCTTGGGCTGAAGGATCCGGGTTTGCCAGAGGTGGGAAAGATGGAGAAAATGTCTGTATGGCAAATGAAGACCCAGCAGGAGCCCTGCCAGCAACGCCTAGAACAGCCTAGAACAAAAAGGGAGCAGGGGAGAGGACTCTTGTGGGCTTCTCCTGCTCCATGGCGAAGGCAGGGGCCCCAGAGGGGGGTCTGCAGCAAAACTGCCTAGGATGCATGCGAAGCCTGCGTCTTCCCAGGTGGGATGTGGCCAGAAGGGATCGGAATCACCGGGGACAGGGGCCTGGGAATCTGTCTCCTTCTGGGGGATCCTGTTCATTGCTGATTTGGAGAATTCTTGTCCTAGAACCGTAGTCTGTAAACTTGCCTGTGTGCTAGAATCATCTGCAGGGTGTTAAAAAATGATGGCATCTGGTACCCACTTGGCCAAATTTGGATTTGATTAGTCTGGGGAGCGACCTGAGCCCCGGAAGCTTGAAAACTCCCTCAGGGGACTCCACACGCAGCTAAGGCCCAGAACCTTCGCTTTAAGGCTCCGGTAGATGCTCGCACTTAACCCGGGGCAGGGGATGCCCCATGGGGGCTGAAGAGGTCTTTTGCTACAGCATTCTAGACCTGAAGTCCATGGACGGACCTCACAAGGGGACGGGCTTCAGGGGCCCTGGGACCCCATTCCCTGATTCAGAAGGTAAATGTTTTGTACCGACGTTCCTCTTACCCTCCTATGAAAAGCTGTCTTAATTTTCCTCTGATCCTTAAGGAAATCTGTATCCTTAAAATTTGATGTACCAATACGGGGCGCCTGGGTGGCTCAGTGGGTTAAGCCTCTGCCTTGGGCTCGGGTCATGATCCCAGGGTCCTGGGGTTGAGCCCCATATCGGGCTCTCTGCTCAGCGGGGAGCCTGCTTCCCTGCTTTCTCTGCCTGCCTCTCTGCCTACTTGTGATCTGTCTCTCTGTGTCAAATAAATAAATAAAATCTTTAAAAAAAATTTAAGTACCAATAAATTCCACTTTCCAGGGAACAAAGAAACCGAGTCTGGGAAATAAAACAGCTTCCCCAAAGGTCATGAAACTACTTGATAGAGAAACTGGGACGCCCACCAAAGAATTCCCATATCGGGTAGACTTAGTGTCTCTTGACCCCTTCTCTCTGACGTATAAAAGGCAAGAATGCGTCTGGGCTAGAAGGGTTGGGGGTGGGAGTGGACCTCAAAATAAATTTGCATTTGGGCAGGTTCAATCTCCGTATTCCCACCAGTGGGGATTTGTAATTGATATTTAGAATGATTGCTCCAGGGCAACGCAAGATTCTCAATCATCAAAGAAAGATTTAATTATGTTCAATATACCCTACTTAGTTCCCAATTAACCAGAACATTAAAATAACCGGAACACGCTTCCCCTGCGCGCCTCACTGATCAGAATCTAGCGGCTGAATTGATTTGGGTTCCTGGCCCAGCCCTCTCCAAGTGCCTCCACCAGCCCTGTTCCCAACTTGCCAGTGGATGTCAGAGGTCTGACATACTTTAACAAAAGAGAACCAGCAGCAGATACTCTGTGGAATGACATTTCGCTATGGGTTTGACGCTCAGGAGATGCTGGGTTCCTGAGAAATGTTTTGCCAAAATTCTTCCCACGGGGGAATCCCAAAGCTCTTACTAACTCAAGGCCGTCCCTCCTTCCTTGTGCACAAATGTGATAGGCTTTGTATTGCTTCTCAGACCTCTGAGGAAGACAGTGGTTACACGTGGGCAGAATGTGAATGGTGAGCTCCTTGTGTCTTTCAGGAGCACCCCAGAACATTGCCGAGGGAAAGGAGAGAGAGAGAGAGAAGGCGTACAGACAAGGCAAGCACAAGGCTGACAGATGTCCCCATGGTAGGAGAGTAGAAATCCTCACCCAAGAATATCACCACTTCTGCCTCTTTGGGACACAATAACAAAATAAAAGGGGTCATGAAGAAATAATCCATTTCCGCATATTACCTTTCATTGTGCAAACAGGAAAGGGGGAAATGATTTTTCCCACCTCAGTTGAAATGCAGGTTACCTCTGTCCTGAAAGTCTGAGAATCAGATTTTCACCCAGATGTTTTCCAAGTCCCCGACTCACAGCTTGGGTTTGAGGCAGAAAATCAGATTGTGTCTCGGGGGCCTGGGTGAGGGAGAGGCAGCCCTCAGAGCAGGTGTGAGAGACAGAGAGAACGGGCTCCCGTCCCCATTTCTGGCACTTACCAGCTGTATGTCCTTCGGCAATTCCCTCAACCTCTCAGCCTTCGTTTCTGTGTCTGTAAAAGGGGGACAATAACAACGTTCCTCAGGGCCTTGTGCGAGGATTAAGAGAATCCATTTGACAGGGGTTTACAAGCGATAAATGGGAACGACTGTTGAACAGTCAACTGTTCGAACGACTGTCCTTTTTATGATTTCCCTGGTCGAGAGCACACTGGAGAAGCTGGGAATGCTTGCCTCCCCTGTTCATCAACTTGCCCTGCTCTGCTTCCTGGGTGAACTCCAACATTCTCGGAAAAAAAGGAAGGTGTCTCAGTCTGTCCTGCTCTCGTCTCTCCGTGGGGTTTGAGCTAATGGGGAAGATGGGGAGCTGCCAGGGTAGCAGGAAGTGGGCTCCACGCCAGCTCCGATGCCGCGAGTCCTCACCCGCCCGCGTCCCACAACGTGCCAATTAACTCCCTTATCAACACATGAAAAATGTATAATTATTCGGTCAGCTTTGGTGTGCTCTGAGCCGCGATGGGGACACAGTTTTCTGTTTGCATTCGTACTTTATTATTTTATGTTCTAGCTGCTCACGCTGAAACCAAAGTCTGCGTCTTTGCCAAAATGTGCATCGTGAACTCCTTTTTTCTCGACCTGGACTCCAGGAACCTTATCTATTATGGATTGAGAGTCAGACTGTAGGATGTGAAGCTTCCTGCCTCGATTTAGCGTTAAGCTTAGATAGTAGAAAACCCAGACGGGACAACTTCTCTTTCTCCCTTGGCCTTCTTCCTCCAAGGATTTGCAAGATAGTAACAGGTGATTTCAGCCCCTGGGCTGAGAAGAGGGGATGAGTGAAAAAAATGGTGATTGATATGTTTCATTCACAATGCTTAGGGGTTTTGTTTCTAAAACATCTGCTTGAAAATTTCCTTTCTAGAATTCTCCATGGAGGATGTGGGAATATCCATGTATTGTACATCCATAGGGCCAGGTGGAGTGGAAACTAAGCCTTCCCCCTCGACGTAAACAGAAAAGTTTGGACAAATCAAAAGGACTTTAGGTAGAAAGCACCATGTAGACTTCTAGAGATCACAGAAATTCTCTCTTGGGGGTTCTGAGATGGAGGGATTTGCAGAGCCCTTTTTCAGCCTCAACACAAACGGGAAAAGAAACTGAAGTCTGTTTTAATTTCAAGCATCAGTAGAAGCAAAGAAAAAGAAAATCCCATAAGGACAAGTGCCAAATGAGAAAGGGACAGAGTTGGCAAGAGTTAGCCCCTGTCAGTGTCTGAGGAGTGAGTTGGTGCCAGTCAAACTGGAGAATGAAGGGGATGGAGGCGTGGAGGCGGATGCTGAACTAGAAGTGGGGAGAAGCCTTTATTTGGTGCTTTGTTTTTCCAGGACCTGTTGCTGTCACTGTTCCTTAAGTTCTTCGGAATTAGAGATCGGAACAAAACGAACATCTATTAAGGGTCCTCTCTATGCCAAGTTTTTCGCTCATGACTTAACACCTCTCTCTGCCACCTGTGAGGGAGGTGTGGTTTTTCTATCCTATAGATGAGACCACTGACCCCCAAGGGTTCATGACAGAAACCTAGAAGATCTCTAGAGGAAGGATAGGAAGTGGACCTTGTCAATCCGAAGTCCTTCCAGTGGTCTGTGGTTCTTACATGACCTAGGGAATGTCCACTCATTCTTTATTTTGAGGGCACTAACTTGGCCTGATAGAACCTGAAGATTGAGGGGATGTGGGTTCTGAATGAAAGAGGGAAGCTTATTTAGAACTAAAACCTTCCATATCTTATTTGTTATGTGGATAAATAACTCTTGATAAGGGAAGGTAACACTTTTGATTTGGGTCAATTAGATATTTTCAACATCCATCCCTCTGTCCATCTCTCGACCCATCTGTCCATCCATCCTTCCATATGTTCATCCCTCCATCCCTCCCTTCACCCATCCATCCATCCATCCATCCACCCATCCACCCTTCCACCCATCCATAGCTTCTATGTGCTCAAAGAGATCCGAGGAGACTCTTTGGTAGGATGATGTATTGAGAAGGTCTTTGCCTCTTGGCTCAGCCATTCAAAACTTTTGTGACCCAGGACAAACTACTAAACTTTTCTTTACTGAAATTTTTTTTATCTGTGAAACGAGAATTGTAGTACTGACTCATGGGCTTATTATAGGTTTAGATAAAAATGCATGTAAAATATGAGCATGGTGGTATGCACCCAATAACTAACAATTACTGTAATTAAGCACAGTCCCTGGTCTCATGAAAATGTAGTGTTCACGTGTAAAGGTAGGGGCATGAGAAGGTTTGTAGAGCAAGTCTGCATGTGATGAATGTGATGGTAAATGTAAATATCAAAATCAAATTCTACGGAAGTTGGGAGAAGAAACTCCTCCTGGCTGGAGGTTCAGAGAAGGCCTCAGAAAATGGGTCAGATTTCAGCAGGGAAAGGGGTGGTTCCCACATTAGGGAGAGTACGCAGTGATCTTCCTCATGTCAGGAGAGTGTGGAGAGGT